CCATGCTTTCATTAATACACAGTAATAGAAAATAATGCACTAACCTTAGCTTTCTGTTCAGTCGTTGCCATTTTATTGGATAAATCAGTGAACGTAGCAGTCCAACCTCGTTTTCAGAGGTGGCGTAACCGTCATGGTAATACATGATGAAAAAATAAAGGTATACCCATTTGCAAAGCATACACAGCAATATTGATGTTTTGGTCAGTTGTACTCGAGGTATTTAAAGTTAATTGGTTTTTACTTTGTTTACCCGAAATGTGCAGCCTTTAAGATGAAGCTAGACATTATCGAAACTTATAAAGATCCTAACTTAACATTACAAAATTTCATATCAGTTGACTCCATATATCCTTGTCTGTCACTCATATCTCAAGAATAATTCTTTACTTTGAATGGTTCAAGAAATATTTCATGCCTACAAACTGCTTTAATATGACAATAAAACATGAGGAATTAATCTAAATTTTGTGAAATATCACACTGAGTTCAAAGATCACTAAAACATCGTGTATAATACAAATATACTCGTAAACTAATCAAAATAACGCAATAATTATAAACACGAGTAACTGAGAAAATCATTATGACATTATCTGATGTGAAGTGAAAAAGACTGACCAACAAGGTCAACTATGACTTCGTCACAACAATTCTAGTTATAACGAAATTGTATCCAATTGCGATGATTGAATAAACTATATGCTACAATCGAATATATGCTATAACTTAAGACATAGTATCAATGGTTAAGACAGGGTAAATCTTAATTTAAAATCGACCATGACAAACCTGCTAACGAACACAACGATGGAAAAAATCTTTTAGAAAGAAACTTCAGGTTTGTAATCATAGGCTCGACGGGGCGCATCCTACCCTTTGCATTCGTTCGACTTCGTTTCTTGAGGGAGAGCTTCGTCTTCGTCGGTGGTTTATAACTAGACTCTGAGCGCAGGGTAAATGGAAGACGACGGGACGTGCTGATCAATGTTGAACACATGTGCGGATGATTTCGAAACAGCTGCGTATAATGCCAAAAAAATTACACGCAGCGATGGAGGGTCGTAATTGGCGTCCAAAAATGAGGAAAGAACTGGCGAGATGACTAGACGCATATTTGAAATCTATGAAATGTTGCGTTATCTCACTACTGGGGACCCAAAACGCAGCTAAAACGAGGGACTGTGAACAATAATGTAATGCACCAACAGAAAGGCATTCTTATTTTCTTATTTTGCTTTGTATGGAACAAGTTCACGGGGGTAAAGCAGACCCGATGGTGCAATGAGCTTGCTCGGCGGTATCATGACTGTGTAACGGGTCTTTTAATTATGTATAAGTGTGCTCGGCGGTAGGTTCAAACAACGCGGATCCTCAAAGCATGTCCTAGATTTTCATACACCTGGTAGGTTCAAAATTCAAATGACAAGTCTCGGTTCAGAGAATAGTCTCATGGGCTAATAATTTTTTATGAAAAATATAGAAGCATCCGCCAAATTAAATTATGAAATTTCAAAAGAGCCATTTAAATCTACAAGATGTAAAAATATCAAAATTGTCCGAACCAGTGGTAACGTGCTGTAGACCGATTCAATAAAATTCAAATCTCGATTTGGAGAGAGAAGTTCATCAATGTTCTGCGCTAATAATTTGTTATGATAACACCCAAATTAAATTATGACTGTTCTAAAGAAGTCATTCAAATCTATATTATGTAAAAAAAATCAGATTTGTTCGAAGCAGGGGTAACGTTCAATTAGAGTGATGAACTTCGTTCTCCAAACCGAGAATAGTCCTTTAACGATTTTGTAGATGGTATTGGTGTCGATACAACCCGAGTAGTACAGGGTGACCCAAAAAAATGCAACCCTCCATTTCTTCAATATTTTTCTTAAATGGAGGTAAATTGCTCTGAGATTTGGCACACAAGAACTTCATTCAATGTGGGATCCTCTGGCAAAGTTTTAATAACGATAGTCTTATATTGATCGAGTTATGGTTGTTTCAAAATATGCTCCATATATCGTCAATTTCGCTGAAAACAAACTTGCAATGTTCAAGGAAAACTGTTCATAACACGGATGCATTCTTCCCCATGGGTATGGCTCAAATTTTTGCAGGAATGCTTGTTGGAGTTCTGCAATTGCAGTAGGGTTATTTTCATACACATTATCCTTTAAATAACCCCATATATAGAAGTCAGGGGCATTGAGATCAAGACTGTGGGATGACCATGGGTTCTCCATCCTATGAGAGATAATCTCATTATAGAAATGACTAGTGAGCCAGGCTATGCTATCATAAGAAGTGTGAGTAGCCCCATCCTTCTAGAATCACTGTTCTTGTCTATTGAAGCCTGTATGTCATTCTAGAACTGCCTAGAACTTCCTGGAAATGCCAATATTGCGCTGTGTGTTAACAGTAACAGTGTTGCCATTATCAACCTCAAACCAAAAGGGGCTGGTGATTTCATGTTTGGAAATTGGCAGCCCAAGCTGTGCAATTAACAGAATGAAGGGGCCTTTGAAGCACTTCATCTTGAATTTGTGATCCCAGAACACATTATTTCTTGAGTTTACATGTTCAGAAAGAAGGGAATGTGATTCTTCCGAAAACCTAACATTGGAAATGGACGACATTTGGAGCATATTTTGGAACGACCATAACTCTATCAATATAAGACTCTGATTATTGAAACTTTGCCAGAGGATCCCACATTGAATGAAGTCTGTGTGTGCAAAATTCCAGAGCAATTCACCTCCATTTAAGAAAAATATTGAAGAAATGGAGGGTTGCATTTTTTTGGGTCACCCTGTAGGACCCCAGTGATTTCAATAGGTTTCAACGTATTATCGAGCCACCATGTCCCTGAAACAAGATTCTCTGCCGTCCGGTAACACATTTGCATAAGCTATTTATATTTTTTTTCATTTAAAACCATTGCTTGAACAATGTCATCATTCGAGCAACCAGCGCATGCTCTCTAGTCTCAAAAAGTATAAGTAGTATTCTTTCATCATTATCACAAGCAACCCATTTAGAGTTTTTGATTCATGCTACGATTACAGAAAAAAAATCATGGCAGAAAAGTACGGCTATATTGAGGTTAATAATTTCTTCAATTTTCTATGCACATGGATACATGTACACTGTAGTTACATTCCCCTCCATAAGTTTGGCAACCCTAACTCCCTCATTTGACTACGTGTTAAAGCCTCATTATGTTTGAATTTTTATTTACATCAGCAGCGAAGAAAATACTAATGACCAAAGTGGAAATGTATCTTAACTTCATTGCCAATGCCTCTAAATTTTCCCAATTTATTTTTTCTTAATTCCACTTGCAATAGGTCGGAAATTGATGACAAATTTTTGAATGTAAACCAAAGGGAAATGATGGGTTCGTGGTAAATCAGATTTTTGGATTTCTATTGAGCACCAAAAAAATATCTTTATATAGAACATTGAATTGTCTAACTTTTTGCATGCTGAATGTTAAGTTGACTTTGTGAACATTAAAGTTACAGAGCTTCAAAGGCATTTTTGAAAGTCATTTTTCGCCTCCTGTGTTATTTCAATGGAAGAGGTTTCTTGAAAAATGTTTTGACCTATAACTTTGTTTAACGTGAAGAAACATATCATTTTTTTGTTAACTAAAGTTTGCAAATTCATTTTTTTACCTAAATTGTATTTTTGGCAAGAACTCGGATAGAATGATATTCTGTCATATGACTTGCGACAAACCTATCAGTTCCCATTTGTTTAACCTGGAAATGACAATTTTCAAAACTTCATCAGATTTGCCATCAATATTATCACCTATTCTTATTGTTGAAAGAATTGAGAAAAATTGAAGGTATTCGAAATGAGGTCAATTTATATTTCAAGACCTAAAAGTAGACTTTTCTTTACAGATTATGTAAATAAAAATTCAAATATACAAGAATGTAGATAGGCTTTAGGGGTTACGGTTGCCAAACTTATGGATAGGAGTGTATGTCTAGCCAGTTACTTTCTAAATAATTCGAAAGGCTTTTAACCCGCCTAATATTTGCAAAGGAAGTCAACCCTTCTCTGTGTTGTGCCACTGTTCTTTTTCCACCTTGAGTCACGGATATAATATTATGCAAACGGTGATATTTTACATTAATGACAACGTATTCCAAATATAAGATATAATCTTTTATTCTCCCCTACCACTGATATTTCGATTTCACTAATTCGATTTATATTTTATATTCCGTTACTGTGTGTCTAGGCACAATCCTGGACCGAAATTATGTTGAAATAATGCCAAGTCAGTCATTTATTTATTTTCTTACTAAATCACTGATTATTATTTGACGTACATTTTGAAATATGAATATCTAAGACAAAAACAAGTTGAACTTGAAATAGATTATTCACTCACTTGTTCTATTGATTTCAATGGGTTTTCGCGATACCTCCTATTTTTGAAAGTGCATAGATTCAGTTCTGGAAAAGTTTTTATCTTGATTTTTTGATTTGAAAGATTTTGATTATTCTTCAAAGAAATATTCTGGCACATCTGGCAAAGGTTGGCAAGGTTTCAGACATTAGGATAAATGTAACAGAATACACCTGCTTGCAGGCACACTACTGTTGATTGTTAATTGTAAACATTTTGTTAGAGAGGGCATCACTACTAGCTATTTATGTTCAATAGAATCAAGGGATATAGGTTTCTTCAAAAGTAAAAGCATGGATGCCGATCCTGTTCTGCTTATACAAAAATCTAAAACTCCGAGGACAGGAAGAAATAAAATAGTATCCAAAAGCAAGACTACTGGCAAGGTATCACATACTAAAACACTCATAATTAATCTTGTGATAAATCTACGCAAATCCATGATTTATTCTCTGAAAGCTGCTAAATATCCTAGATTCATTTAGCTTAACAATTAATTATACAAATAAACGTTTTCGAGTGGGTTACGCATTTTATACGCATGCATGATGACAACAATGATTGTCCATGGTTACATAATTTTACAATACGACCTTACTTTTGATAATTTTGATTTCATCGTAGGAGCTACAAAAACGGCCACTGAAGCTGAAGCTGCGGAGGCAGCGGCAAGCATCAAACCTCCTCCAAAGGCCGTCACAGATGCACCGACTAAAACAGCTGCAGAAGTTCCTATAACAACATTTCGAACTACTCCGCTTCCCCGTGTTTCGTTATTTTGCGAAATATTGACTAACGTATGATCTTGACGAAGAGCCTCTTTAATAATTTGCAATACGCGATCGAATGGTTCTACATATCCATTCCATTCTTCATGTTCATGAACTGTATTTTCACATATCTGTTCGGATTCTTTTTCTTTTTGGCAATTTTTCTCCAGCGCCATTTCGACTGCCATATCCATTTTCATCTGCTGTATGCTTTCTTCAATGCGATGTACATCCCTACAGTAAGACTTGGCAAGACCCCATTCTTGGAGTTTCTCATAAAATCGAGAAGCTTCTGCCTTTCGACCTTTAGATCTGTTGTCAATGATAAATATTCTTCCCGAACATGCATCAAATAGTTCTTTGATATACGTGTCTTCAGAACTGCCATCCAACCATTTTTCACATTCTTTTAAATACTCTAGCTTCTCGACCTTCCCACTGTTATCCCATTCATTGTTCATCTTATATTTTATGTCATCGCCGTGGGTAAATAAAATAACTCCGTGATCTTTTGCACATTCGTCGCCATATAGCTTCTTCATAGATTCAATATAAGCACAATCTTGCTCGGAGAATTGGCCATACCTTATTACAAAAAGGAAGACGTGTGGACCAGGGGCCGCATACTGAATGGACATTGCGATTTCCTTTAGAACTGTTGGATCCGTTATATCGTAATCTAGGAAGCCAGGTGTTTCGATTATCCTATACGTATTTGTATTGCAGATTGCAGTTGTTGCCCATTGACATTTAAGAGTTGTTTTATCTATGCCTGCCTTCTCGTTGAATCGATTTCTGCCCACAAGTGTATTTGCCGTGGCACTTTTCCCGACCCCACTCTTACCAATTAGAACGATTCGAATTTGTCGGTCTGAAAAGAGATTAATATCAACTTTTCCTTTTATGAAGTAATGCACCATTCAAAAGTTTGCGTGAGACCCCCCCCCACTAAGAAATATTGTCCCGGTAGTAAGGATTTTGACAATGAATTTCGTCCCGGGAGTGAGGAATTTGATTTGCATGTGCCTGGGAGTGGAGATTTTTTACTGTACTTGTTTCGTTCAGTATACACTAAACTAGGCACTAGACTTTTACACGCGGGTCCAACTATGCACGTTGAAAACTGTTAACTTGAATTTAAGACCTATAGTCCATGGTATGACTTCCGAATATGAAGGATCCGTAGCACACTATAGCGCAGCAACAATTGAAGCAATATTAAAGGAGGTGCATATGTCTTGATTCTTGTAAATTCTTTTGAAGTAGGGGTATACAGGGACACAGTGGAAAATCAGAAATTAAGGTCATATCCCAAAGATTGCTTCACCAATATGTAACAGAACATCAAAATTATCATTTATACGTTTGCTGATAGGTTTATTAAAAATAATCAACCAGAGGTTTACTTCAATTGTGACACCATTCTTAGTAAATACTGATGAACATACGAATATCGAATGTTGACTAAGTTACTCGACTTGACCTTACTACCAGATGTTTGAAAATCAAGGATTGTGAATCTCATACTGCATCGTTATTCTTGAAACTTTTCCATATAAAGCAAAGCCAAAACGCCTTTCTTCTAGTACATTATCTGTTATTTAGAATCCCTCCTTTTAGTGGCGTTTGGGTCCTCAGCTTCTAACAGCTTGGGACTCGAACGCCACTAAAAAGAGGGACTCTACATAACAGAATAATGCACTAGCAGAGAGGCATTTTTGTTTTGCTTTGAACACTACAGAGGGAATTCTAGAAGAGTACTAAGCAGTAAAACCTTTCTGACTTGGTTAAAATTCCCCATCTTGTTCGTACCCTCCCTCCGAAATAGCTGCTCGTGCTCGTTCAACTTGTATTTTTAGCCTTGTCATAATATAACAAAAAATAGACGGATAAAAACAAGGGGAGGTAACCTATTAAAGGAAAGCCAAGACGCTATGTCTTATATAGATCGGATGTACACCACAACAATTATAACATTAAGAGCACCTTCGAAAATAAGTACCTCGGATTGTTCAATTAAATAGCAATGAACCCAGAGGAATATCTTGGTATCAATTTGAATAGATGACAAAATATCAAATTCATATTTGTTTGTCGTAGGACGAAAACAATGATTACGTCCACAACCCTAGCTAAATGTTCAAAATATGTGGATTTCTATCCGTCAAACTCAACCATGCACTCGCCAGTTCCATAAAAATGATCTTACATACATTTTGCTGAACAAATACAAACGAATAAAAAAACTTCCCTCATTTTAGACAAAACGATCAGATAATTCGATAGTGAGTCTCTGACAATTAGAAGACTTAAAGTTGAAAACGTTATCAGAATTAGCCGCATTCTCATTGGTTTTAAATATGCGGGTAATGCGGGTAATTGCGTCATTAAAAAGTCGCCTTTCTACTGGTTAACATAAATTTTATTCCAAATATTTGAGAACCCTCCATTCATAACGTAATTTCAAGATGTACTAAAACCATTGTCAGAATCCTCTATTAGCTTGTGCTTAGCACAAAAACAGCTCTTTTGTTATTTTAACTGCAAAGCTCGTGATATTTCCCCACAAACGATGATTTATTAGGAAGAATGTTACACCTGTAATGTTGTTATTTTTTCAGAATTTTTTAATTTATTTGACCATGGCAGTTTTGACGTACCGTGTGCCAAGTTATCAAGTTATCTCGGTGCCAAATCTAAAAGTTGGCGCAAACTACGACACAGACTGAACCAAAGAAATTTCAATGACAAAAAAATTTTTTGATCCGTTAAGCTTCACAATAATTGATTCCAGTGGAAAGATCACTGCAAAATTTATATTTCATTGATTGACATACAATGTGGTCGACCGTCTATCGATAACTTGAAATGTTAAACCAATAATCATAGTTTTGGCCTTACAACATTATGCATGCTTTCAAAAGGCGAAATCCCATACGTATTGGTGTTATATAACTTACATGCTTTCAATAGCGTTTCAGCTCGATTGATTCCGCACTCAATGGGAAGTAATATGACCTTCGCAAAATTCATAAAATAGCCTTAAGGTGCCGTGTTACTTAACAGGAAATGACAAAACAGGGGGTGACAAAAAATGCTGCATTTTTAGACATTTTGTGAACAAAGATAACAGAGCTCTCTTTTGACATCTAGTCAATTCAACTAGTTTCACATATCATTTACATGACCAGAGGCCTCATTATCATCTGGTCGCAACGCAAAATCGCATGCGAATCGCATCGCAAGACATCGCAACGCAACTATTTCCCAAAAATGTTATTATCATTCCATCGCATCGCAAGTCTGACGCAAAGTTATCGATTTTCTGATCGCAACTAAACAAAAAGTTGCGACGACGTTTACCCTGTCGCAAATCAAATCGCAAATCTAGTTCATCTTTGAGCGTTATTTTATCTATGTTAATGGATATTTTGTGGTGTTTTATATCGGTCATTTCACTACCTGTTAAGTATTAATCAATAGTATCGAAGAAATTGTTCAATTTTATTTATTTAATATGATTAAAATATACATTTAATTGAGCCTGTAAATCCTTAAAAATCACGTTTGTTTCTAAATATTGCGAACGCATCACATACTGTATACGTCTTGGATTGGTGCCTGCAATATTTCGTGCTCTTTAGAGCATAGGATTTTCGCCAATTAAACATTTATCTAGCTAATAAAGCTTGTTTGGTGAATTAATCTTGCCACTACTACACTAATGTTCTGAGTATTCCTAGTATATATGTACCTCACCTACATCGTCTGAGTAATAGAAAACTCATTAGCTGTTATCGTTTCATTGTCTGTTGAAAAATTATGTTGACGGATTTTAGATAGAAGCATTGTAGAACACATACAACAACGACCAAAAGTTCATTTTATTTCAGTTAGTTTCAGTAACTTCCCGTTTTAACAGTTATTTATTTTCAGTGATGTGTGACTTACATAACGTTTTCTCTAGTCCTCGTTTCCACACCAAGTGAACTTATTTTTTCAGCTACCCTTGCCAAGCAACTATCCTGTGACTGTATTGTTATTTGACAGCTAAGTGGTGCCAAAAGAATATTTGCATCCTTCTCAATGAGAGATATTAATAATTCTTGTTCATCATTTGTCCAATTCCTTGCCCTCGACATGTTTCTTCGACTACTTTCTGTTCAATGTAAATCGATTTGCATTTTGGCGCACTTATGCCTTGCACAAGTGTAATGCATGCGCAACCAATCAAATCATATCAATTATTGGTTTCTATCAATTTCAATCAATCAATGTCAAAAACTAGCGCCAGTGTCCTTTTAAATTTCGCGCCAAAATACACTCTAGACTTGCGATCGCAACTTACGTTTTAATTGTTTTGCGATTGCTTTGCGTCTGCGATTGCGCTCAATTGATAATATCACGCATCGCATGCGTTACGAATTGCGATCGCAATCGCATCGCAGATGCAACGCAACTATTTGCGACCAGATGATAATGAGGCCTCGGGATCATAATGTACATGGTCAGAATGACCCTAAACATGATGAAATAACCTTTTCAGCCCTCTGAAAATGTGACTGAAAAATAGCTAAAAATAGGAGCTGGGAAAGGTCACATCCTCCTTAGCAGGTATCCAGAATCCGTACCTCCTTCTTCCCCCTGATATAAAGGTACGTTCACACCAACGGCGAATGCCACGCTTTAAATCGGCGAGCAAAGCGCCGTCATTTTTGTCATTTTTCTTCATACCAACGGCGCTTTGATGGCGCTTTAAAGCGGCTTGTAAAGCGGCACCAAAGCGTAACAAAGTTTGTTTAAAGCGTCGGGGTCGTTATAGGTCGTAGAAAAGCTCAGAGTAAAACGGGATATTCGACAAGAGCGCCAAAAAATTTTAAACTCTTAAAAAATTTTAGGCGTTCTGTTACGAATCGATTAAGCGCCGAGAGCGTATCAAAGCTTAACAAACCGTAACAAAGCTCAGAAAAACTTGATCCAAAGCGTAGGAAAGCTTAACATAGCTCTAAAAGGTTCCTCACGCTTTGATCCCGCTTTGATCAGGCTTTGTTACGCTTGAAATCACGCTTTGAAAAGCTTTGATAAGCATTATTACGCTTTGATGCGATTATGACGCTTTAAATCAGGCTCTGATAAGATTGCAAAACTCTGTTGTGCATTGTTACGCTCTGTTAAGCTCTGTCACGCATTGGAAAATGTCGAGATCGCCGATTCCATGCCGCTTTTGATCCAATGACTATATAAAGATACAGTAGATCCATAAAACCATTGCATCTTTGACTCGAGAACACGATGGCAGAACAACGAGATCCAGAAATTCCAGATGGACCAGAGCATGACCTATCTGAAGAAGACATGACGTTTGTCGCACGGCGTGATATAGCGTGTGAAAACTTTCAAGCGTAACAAAGCCTAGCAAAGCGTTTCAATCCTTGATTAAAGCGTCTCAATTCGTTGGGAAGCTTGAGAGTCCCTCAGGAAAGTGTAACAAAGAGTGTCAGATATTGATGAAAGCGTCTGACCTCGTGTCAGATCTTCATGCCAGATCGTAGCAAATCTTGAGACATCTTAACGAAGCGTGTCAAGTGGTAACAGACCGTGAATAGACTGGGGTCCCCGCTTTGAACCAAGCTGTGTTAAGCTTTCCTACGCTTTGAGTCAAGCTTTGTTGAGCTTTGTTACGGTTTGTTAAGCTTTGATACGCTCTCGGCGCTTCAATCAATTCGTAACAGAGCGCCCAAAATTTTTAAACAGTTTAACATTTTTTGGCGCTCTTGCCGAATATCCCGCTTTACTCCGAACTTTTCTACGACCTATTACGATCTCGACGCTTTAATCAAACTTTGTTACGCTTTGGTGCCGCTTTACAAT